CACAGAAAAATCACTCTGAGATAAAACAACAGAATTCTTAGAAGAAAATAGGGGAGACTATTGACAACTGACAAAGACTTCTCAACCAGACTACAAGAGACTAACCATGGAGGGGAGAACTAATAAATGTGACTTCTTACAATTAAGAACTTTGCTTCTCGTGAGATATTCCTAAAAGAGTATTAAAGACAAGCCCACATGGAATGGATATATTTTTTAATTTTATTTATTATCTTTATTTTATGTGTATATGTGTATTGCCTGCATGTAGGTAAGCGCACCTATGTCGTGCAATGTCCACAGAGGTCAGAAGAGGCTGTCAGATCCCCTGGGACTGGAGTTATGGATGGTCGTTAGCTGCCATGTGGGTGCTGGGAATTGAACCCGGATTCTCTGTAAGAGCAGCCCAGCCAGTATTCTTAACCACTAAGCCATCTCCAGCCCCAAGGAACTCATTAAAAAAAAAAAAAATGGTTGACAAGTTCAAAAGAACACTCCAAAAAAGAGAAAGTGAATATTCAAATGGTCTGTTAGTCTAAGAAAACAGGTTCAATCTTTCTAATCATCAGATAAATACAAAATAAAACCACAGTGAGATAACCACTACATAAACCACCAGAGTGGCCAAAATCTTAAAAGGTAAAACTGACCTTTCTGTGTGTTCATACAGATGCAGGGTACCTGCCAGCCTAGCACTGCGGGGGGAGTACAGACTGGCACGCCTCCCCTGTGAAACTGTGACCCCTTACACTTCAACTTCTAAAAACAAACTCAACAAAAATGAGTATCTGTGCTCCGAAAGACAATCATAAGGATGCTCACAGAAGCGCAGCGGGTGGGAACCCACAAAAGGAACACCTCAAGGGCACAAGGAGAGTGGTGGGGTTTTCAAAGGGTGGTCCTCTGATGGAACACTGCACACAAGTGCAGGGCAGGGACATACCTCTGGATTTAGTGCTTCAGGTGATAGGTTGCAGGGCCCAAGAAGCAGCATTCAAGATGGAGGTGTTAAGAGAGTCTACCCTCCATGAAGGTAAAATCACTGCACAGCAACAGCACGGGGCAGTGGCAGCCATAAGTCATAGTGCATTGCAGAGGATCCCAGAAGCTCAGAAGCTTTGTCTGATTTCTGGCTCTGAGTACTAGGAATGCTGTCTTGAGCTACCTTATATTAATTTCTTATGTCCAAGGGCTCCCTGGTCAAGTCAAGGCTGCAGCCCACCTTTCCTGCACCATCTCCTAAAGTTCCCAGGCCCATGTGTCTATCATTCTAGCCATGATGATCCAAGTTCCATGGCTGCCTATGCCTTGCCCACCCTGGGATCCATAACACCAGACACACAGTGGCTGTTCACTAAAGATCATTTAAGTGCACAGAGTACTCTCTTGAAAATCCACTCTACTTTCTGTATTGCCCGAATCTTCTTCTTTCTCACCATCCTTCACAGCACAGCTCAGGCCTCTCCTCCTCCAGGAAGCCCTCCTGCTTTGTGCCAACACTCTACTGATTCTTTTCCATTTTCTGTCTGTTCTAACTGTTGGTTCTGTGACTCAGTTTCCTGCCCTCTTAGGTGTGACCTGTAGAGGGCAAAGCTTTATTTCTTGCTGGGATCATCAGGAGAAATTTAATGTGAGTTCAACTCACTGGGAAGTCATACATACTTCTGACTTGTGTATCAGCCCAAACCACCAGGACTGACCTTGTGTACCTCAGTGCAGGTCTACGCTAGGCTCCACAGCACAGGAATGAAATGGTAATAAGGCTTACAGTCTAGTGGAAGAGACACAACACAACACACACGTGAGTGCACACACACACACACACACACACACACACTCGGGGTTGGGATTCTGAAAGAAAAGTCTAGGGTTATAGATAGATTGGTGCATTGAGGTCTGACCTCATCTTGACAAGTGTGTAAGGAGAAGAACGAGTTGGTTAGACAAGGGCAAGGCTGAGTGGAGGCAGCAGTGTGATGTAAACCTAGAACCTAGAACCGAGGCTCAGGGACTGAGTGCACAGAAGTGGCAGGAAATTCAGGTTGGGGCTAGTTAAGCAGGCTCCCGTGGGGCTCTGATGATGACCTAGGAATGGGACAAGTCATCTACAGCTTGAGGGGAGCAAGCTGTGTGATCTGCTATGGAGGGGAGGGGTTGTGACTGACTTCTGAGAGATGAGGGTTCTGTCTCTGGTCTCTGTGGACAGTATGGCAGTGGCTCATAGGGAACTCCAGTCCCAGGAGGGTGTGTTCCTCAGAAGTCTCTGAGGCTGAGCTGGGCTTCTGTCAGGCTGGGAAAAGCACCCTCATTGAAGAAGTCACATCGCTAGAAAGGCAGCATGCTGTTGTGATGAGTTTTAGGAAAATGAGACTGAAAACCCAGCTTGGCCCTTTGCGTTGGTTGAACCCATGAGGGTCTTTGTGTTCTGACTCCAGGCATTTGCTCTGAGTTCTGACCTTTCTGTAAACAGGTCTCATCTAGTTTAGTCATTTTTTAGAGGGTGTCAGCATGGACTCTGGGCAGGGAGATAGATGCTTTACTGTCCTGGGCTAGCTACAGGGCAATGCTGGAAATAAGTGGGAAGACCAGCATAGGGAGAAGGGCATGTTTACACAGGAAGAGGGTTGATGGACAAAGGACCACTCAGAGGAAGGTAGGCTGAGATGAGATTCAAGTATGTCAGCAGTGACCACTCAAACTCACGGAGTCTCAGACTTAGGCCCATACAGATCAGGAGGAGCGGGAGGGTAGGGAAGGAAAAGCCTCTGTGGAAGTCAGACCTTGTCTCGATGGCCCACTGTGTGGAGAGCAGGGAGCCCTAGCAGTGTACCCAGAGCAAAGTCCTATTCATTAGACTGCCAGACACTGTCCTAAGCACTTAATAGAGATGTACAGTTTCACAGATGAGGGAACCAAGACACATTTTGTCCATTGCAGCTAAGAGTTATCGAGATGCCAGTCCTAGCAGCCTGGCTCCACGGCCACACTCTGCTGACTTCTAGGCTCAAATGCTTGTCCACAGGGGGACTTTGGAAAACAGAACCAGCAGCAGGCAGCATCCTGGGCTCCTAAGAGACCAAATGGTTTAGAAACTCAGCTGACAGGGCTCCTGGACAATGATGCTCAGATTCCCATGTCCCAAGCTCACATCAATTCATTGATTCATTCAACAATCATTTTATCGAGCAGTTACTATCCTCTAGTCCCTTAGGGGAATATAACAATTAGCAAAAGAGAATCTTCCTTTCAGTAATATTAGGGAGAACAGGAAAGACATTAAATATACGATGATTTAGCCTAAAATTGTGGTATGGGCTTTGACAGTCTATGATATCATGTTACAGGAAAGATGACCTAGTCGTTTTGGGAATGAGATTCCTTAGGCTTGAGATTTTTAAAAAACAGTTACATGGAAATCTAAGGTTCTGTGGAAGCTATTTCCAGTTATCTAAGCCTTTAAGTTGAATTTGAATTAAATATATATGTAAAAAATACAGTTCAGATATGCAGTCTTCCTCGGGATCCACAGGGAATTGATTCCAGGACCCCTGCAGATAGCAGACTCACAGATGTTCTGGTCCCTGATGCAGAGCAGCATGGTATTTGCATATATCTTCCTCACACGCTCCCTCATATGCTACACTGTCTCTAGATACCTCATTGTACAATGCGATGCAAATGCTGTGTAAATAGGCTTTATGCTTATTGTTTAAAAAATGACACAAAAAAGTCTGTATGTGTTCAGGACAGGGGCACCTGATTTTCTTCTCTGAATATTTTTGGTCTTTGATTTGTTGGATCCATAGGAGCAGAGCCCAGGGGTCCTGAGGGCCGACTGTATGCATGCATATATGCATATAAGCAGATGAGCTATCTTTTAAAAGATAACAACAAAAAAGCCCACTGCATACTCAGATGTGATGCACAACACACTGGAAACTGGCAGCTCACTTGGGTATTGAGAAGTCGCCTTTGTGTACGTGTCTGTGGACCCGGACTCACTGGAGTTTTACTTCCTTTTAAAAGTGACTGCTAATTAGCAAGGACACAGCACAATATCTGTTTTTTATCATATTATTTTAAAAATTCAGGTGTGAGAAAACCTTGAGTGGATTCACCACAGCTTATCTTTATGAACTAGGACTTTCTTGTTAATATGCAGCCAAAAGAAATTCTGGAAATGCATTGAAATCTGAGGCCAGTGTCAGACTTCAGGGCTCATCTATAGCCTCTGGGGTCAAGTTGCTGTGGGCACAGAACAGCTTGCTGTTTTCATTAAGTCTTTTTACAGCAGGCAGATGGTGTTCTCCTGAGCTAATATAGTATCTGTTTTATATGTATGCTACCTATTGATATTTTGGGTAGGTTTCTAAAGAAAAATAAAACAAATTTTCATAGCAAGGTGACTGTGGCTAATAATAATGTATTGTATATTTTGAAATAAGGGAGAGGATTTTCAATGTTCTTACCATAAAGAAATGATGAATGCATAGGTCCTCTGATTTGAACATTCCACAAAGCACATCATACACCATAAACAGCACATCATACACCATAAATAGCTACAATTTTGTTTATTCATTAAAAGTAAAACTAATAAACAAGAAAACCCAAGGCTGAGAATGACCACTTCGGTTCAAAGGTGCTGGAGACCTGGGTTGGCCTCTCAGGAAGTCTCAGCTCCCCCCGACCTCTCCTCTCCTTTCTAGCCTCCCTCCATAGCCTCCCGGGGTTTTGCTGTGTAGTTCAGGCTGACCTTGAACTTGCTGTGTAGCCGAGACTGGCTTGGAACTCATGACCTTCCTTCAGTCTGCTGGTGTTACAGGCTACAGCATCATATCTGGATAGCCTTCCTGACAGCCCTGATCATGCTCCAGCTCCTGGGGGACTGACAACCTGCGCTGGATTGGAACAGACCAAGCAGAAAGGGTTCTGAGCTTTGCCCAGAGCTCTGGTCCCTTCCAAGGCAGGCAGAGTACAGGGAGGAAGTGAACACTCACCCTTCTTGGTGGCCTCGAAGCTGTCATGGAAGTGAATCCTCTGGATGTCGTAAGTCAAGGTTGTGTTGGGCAGCAGAGTCCTGTTTCTGTTGATGATATTGGCAGAAAATCGAAAGGCATGCTCCTCCGCATTCATGACCTGGGCGTTGGGGCCATCTGCATACTCAAAGATTCCTCCTATGAGAGATGGTAGAACTGTGTGTGGGGAGGAGGGATGAGGCCGGAGCGAAATGCTCAGATCAGAAGGTTTTATAGACACGGTTCCCCTACACACTTGGGTTCAGTATGGGCCTAGATCATTTCCAGGTACAGAAATTATACATTTTCTCCAATTAGCAAATTCCTGCTAACAAAATCTGACAGGCCAAATAAGATTACTAACTTATTAATACCACTATGAAAATTCTCAATAGAGTTCTGGCAAGTAGAATCCACCATAATATTACAAGGCTAACATACCATGACCACATAGAGTTTTATTTCAGGAATTTAAGACTGGTTCAATATAAAGAAATCTATGACTTTCATTCTACCACATCAATAGTTCAAAGGAGAAGAAAATACGATCAACTCACAGAATGGAGGAAGGCGTCTAATAAAATCCAGTATCTACTGCTATTAGGAATGCTTAATAATGGGGCTGGAGAGGTGATTCAGCAGTTAAGAGCACTGGCTGCTCTTGCAGAGGACCCGGGTTCAATTCCTAGCACCCATATGGCAGCTAAACACCATCTGTAATGCCAGTCAGAGGAACCTTACACCCTCTTCTGACTTTCATGGGCATTGCACATGAGTACACTTACATACATGCAGGCAATGTACTCATACAGATAAAATAAAAACAATAAAACCTTTTTTTAAAAAAGAATGCTTAATAAAAAGGCAGCAGGGGAGACACTTTCTTGAGGCAATTTTAGCTCCCATCACCCTACTATCACACTAACTAATATCTAATGAAACACTAGAGGCCTTCTTGTCAAAGGAAAAGTTTATTTTTTTAAAGGTGTTAGTAAAGATTCACAATGCACAGCTGATCAATAAAGAGACAGAAAATGAATTGAGAGACACAACTTTTTGCAAAGGTATAAGTTCTTATTTGTACATGACACAAATGGGAATCCACTGTGATTACATTTGCCCCTACCTTCAATCAGCTCACCCCAACTCCTTCTTTCAAACTAGTTCCTCTCCTTCCATGGTTTGTATGTGTGTGTGCGCATGCACACATGTATATGTTTGCAGGTCTTATGCAGGTGTGAGTTCATGAGTGCAATGCCAAGTCATATCCAGAAGCCAGTGTTTCACAGCACTCCTCCTCACAATCTGCTTCTTACCGCCTTTCCACCCCCTCTTCAGCAATGTCTCCTGGGCCTCAGAGGGGGTGAGATACATGTCCTCTTTAAGACTGAACAGTCAACAGTCATTCACTCTCAGTACTTTGACCAATTATGAGTCTCTGCTTTCACCATCACCATTGTTAAAAGAGGCTTCTTTGACCAAGGTTGCACTTGTTTATGGGTATAAACACAAATATTTAGAAGGCAGCTTGACTGCATGTCCATTTAGCTAATCATCAGTAGCAGATTCCCCCACAGGGCCTGCGACCTCCCTAGTCATAGATTTTTGACCAGTTTACAGCACCAGACATGTATTTCCTGCCATGGAATAGGCCTCAGATCCAACCAGGAAGCCACTGGTTACCCCAGAAACATCCATGCCACTATTTCACCAATGGACAAAAATGAACAAAATTAATATTTTTAAAAATTCCTAACCATTAAGACAGGTTAAGGGCTGGTAGGAGAGTTAAATGACTTGTTAGCACAAATGAACAAGTATCTCTTTATATCAATAACAACCAGTGGGAAAATTTAAGGGCAAAAGGTTTTCCTTGACAGCATCAGCAAAAAAATTAAACAGCAAATAATAAACCAAATAAAAGATGTGCAATTCCAATACTTTACAAATGATAAAATCAAATAAAACACTGTAAGCAAGAGATAGTCATGGCCTCGGTGCTGGGAAAGGAGTGTCAGCTGTCAGTTTTCAGTTTCATTCAATTCCAATCAGAGCCATGGAAGGATTTCTCTTTTACTTGGCTAAATGACTCTAAGATGTATCTGGAAGCCTAAACGTAAAATGATTACCAAAAGAATGTCTTTACAAGACATGAAAGATGACTTGTATTATCAGATATTAAAATATATCATTAAGCCAAAATAATTAAAACTGTGTTGTAATAGCATATGAAAACACGGGTAGATCAAGGGAACGAGATAAAAAGCCCTTAGAAACTAGAGACTCAAGCAGAAACGAGTATTCAAAACATGAAAAAGAAGGATGTTTCTCAGCAGCAGTAAAAGGATGAATTATTCATTAATTGTGTCTTGACAATTATTCAATTATTTGGAAGACCTTTAAGCTAGATTCCATTTTTTTCTTTTGGGTACCAGATATTGAACCTAGGGCTTCATACATGCAGTCAAGTGTTCTAGCACTGAGCTACATCTTCAGTTTTCTAGACTCCAATCTGAATCCATGCATCAAAATTAATTTCAGACAGATCCAAGGTTAAATAGCAAGAAAACAAAGGAAAGAGAACATTATAAAACTACCTTGAAGAGACAATATAGGTGAATACTACATAATATTTGGGTGGATGAAGCCTTTCTAAGCATTTCAGTAAAGTCAGAATCTGTGGGAGAAAGACTGACAACTTCATAGGAATGACAGAAAACTCCTGCACATCAGAATTACAGCAACAATGTCAGATGGCAAGCAGCTAACTTGGAAAAAAATATTTGAACCATAAACAACAGTATAAAAGTTGACACGGTCTTATAAAAAACACAGGTTCAACAAAAAGACAGTTAATCCAGTATAAGACGACACAAGTGAGAGGTATGGGTGATTCATTCACAAAAAATGCAAATAGGCAATTGGTGAATGAAAATAGGTACAACCTTCCTCATAATAAACTCAATTAAAATCAAACGAGATACCAGTTTTCATCTAACAAGCAAAGATAGGAGACAAACCAAAACACCTCTAAGGAGAGTGTTTAAGATGGGCATCTGCTTCACTGTTGGTAGGCCAGGAAATTGGAACATGCTGCTTTTCCTTACAGTGCTGAATGTGGAAGATCTAGAAAACATCCAACTTGGGAAATGGTAAACTGTGTATATTCATGTTAACAGTAAAAATTTAATGATATGGGAACTATCCGTGATATGTTTTGTTGCTGTTGTGGTTTTGTTTGAGCTTTTGAAACCAGGTCTCAATATGTAGCCCAGTCTTGCCTTGAACTTGCAGCAATCCTCCTGTCTCAGTCTGTCAAGTACCATAATGCCCAGCTTCCATGATATGCTTTAAGATGAAAGTTTTGAGGAAAAGCAGAGAACAAGAATGAGATGAAGAGGGGAAATTTCAGCTAGTGATGTAAGAATGGGAGCCACTGTATATTTTTCTTAATGCTTTTCTATATTGTCCAAATAGGAAATCCAACTTTATTGAGATACTATTTCATTTGACAAGAGTGACCAGCTGTATGTATTCAGTGGGTTTTTTTTTTTTTTTTTTTGGAAAGTTAACAAGTCACATGAACAACACCACAATCCAATTTCAGAACTTCTCCATTATCTAATAATACCCTTGTGACAATTTCACCATGTGAAATGGTAGCCCCAGGATACCACTAATTTACTTTCTGTCTCCAGAGATTTTTTTTTTTCTTTTCTGAATATTTCATGTAAATAGAATTGCGCAGTGTGTGTTCTTCTGCATCTGGCTCCTTGCACTCGGTGTGTTTGAGGTTTATCAACATGGGGTGAATATTAGTACCTCATTCCCTTTTATTGCTAAATATCATTACTGTGTATAGATGTGCCATACTTTATTTACCCCTGCGTCAGTTGATGGGCATTTGGATTGTTATTCATTAATTTTAGAAGCTAAAAGAAAAAAATATATGGCTTCCAATTTCTGGTCTGGCCTATAAGAAGCTTTTAAGTCTCCATCTAACAAACAGAAAACTGAACAAACTGAAAATCCAAGCATGATTCTTGGATCTGTAAGAGACATGAGGCACAGGGTGAACTGTTACCCCTTAAACCAGCCCAAGAGACAGGTGTTTGGAGAGAATTATACTGTATTGGAATTGTTACTGTTTGAATGGGGGATGCCCCCCACAGGTTCATGTATTTGAAAACTTGGTCCCTAGTTGGTAGTGCTGTTTTGGGAGGTTGTGGAGTCATTCAGCTGTGGGGCCTAGCTGGCAGGCATAAGACCAGAGGGACAGGGTTATAATGTTATACTGCCGGTACCAGTTCCAGCCTGAGGTCTCAGCTTTCAGGTTCCTGACTGATCCCCATAGACACAATAAGCCATCCATCAGCTTTGTCACACCTTCTACACCATGAAACTGTGAGCCAAAATAAATCCTTCTTCTGCCAAGTTGCTTCTGTCAGGTATTTTGTTCCGTCGATGAGAAAGGTCTGCAGGAGTAGAGACCTGTGAACAGAAACCTCCATGGGCTCCTGTAAGAAAATCTAAATTGCAATTGACAAGTTGCTAGAGATGCAGTGCAGAGAAGCCCGAGGGACAAAAACTTCAGGGAGCTCCACTTATCAGGCCCTGTAGTTTTGAGTTTCTCTCCCGGAGCTCTTCTAGGTTCTTTCAGTGAATACTTGGTGGGGGGGCAGTCCCCAAATGCACTCAGCAGTGAAAGGAACCAGGAACTATTTCAAAATATGCCAAAGAGTTTTGTTCTTCTTAACAAGCTCTGTCTCTGGTGAAATTAGTTGACCAAAGCCTGAACTGCTGGGGCTTGATCAAAGCCTAACCTACCCAAGGGAAGGGAAACTCAGATTCAGTCATCTCTAGTCATATCCCACCTAGGAGTAGGGAAAATGAGAAACACTTGGGACGACCACAGTCTAGAGGCTCAGACTCACTAAAAGACCAACTATTCTAAGGGCTGGGAGATGGCTCAGCAGGTAAAGCATTTGGTATGCAAGTGTGAAGTCTGAAGTTCAAATCCCCAGCATTCATTGAAAAACACCAGGTGGCATGACAGCTCATCTACAATCCCAGTACTTGAAAGGCAGTGACAGGAGAGTCCTGGAGCAAGCTGACTAGCCAGACTAGCTCTGTCCATGAGCTTTGGATTCAACTGAAAG